ATTTGGTAGTCTGAGGTGGGATGGGGATTCGGGAATGGGGGAGGGCAGATATTTTTATAGGTTTAAAGGGGGGCGCGACCAAAAAAGTTTGAGAACCACTATCCTAATGCTCAGTTGATTAAACAATAAAGCTTTAGCAAAACCTCATTAAACTGTGCTATCATTTATGGTTTGTAAATGTTGATCCACTATTCTCTCAGGATCGGGGAGTGCAGCAGAAGAAGGCAAACCGCTCCTCTGAGAAGAACAGGAAGAAGTTCTCTGCTATGTCAGAGAGCCGGCTAACCAATGACATTTCTCCGGAGTCCACGCCTGGAGCAGGACGACAGAGGGCACGCACACCCCATTCCTTCCCTCATGTGAAGTACAGCACTCAAATGTCTGTGCCAGACCAGGCTGAGCTCGACAGACTCCGGCAGGTGATAAACTTCACAGATCTAGATGAGGTGAGTGGGGCTTTACAACCAGGATTAGTTTTGCAGCATGCTTTCCTGACTCATTCATTATGGCTGAAGTTCTAAGCTTCCTACTGTTTCAAGACAAGAAGTTCATGGATTTGAACTAGTTCTGAAGCAAATCCTCAGAAGCAAACACTTAAACTCAAATACTCACTATCAAATAGATCACTATCGATTTCAGGTCAGCTTTAAAAGCAAATGCAAATGTCAGTGACATCATTTCGTAAACCAAAATATCACTTTTCACCCCTACAGAGAAGTATTGGCAGTGACTCTCAAGGCCGTGTCACTGCAGCCAACAATCAGAGACAGCTGTCAACTGAGGCCAAGAAACCATTCAACTTCCTGCCAATTCACCTCAACACTAACAAAAGCAAAGAGCCCACTGCATCCACCTCTTCTACACCTGGGGGCAAGGAACCCAAGAAACAGAGTCCTGGGAAAGAGCTGTTTGCCCCAGTGCCAGCAGTGGTTAAAGAGCCTTTTAGTCTAGACAGTGCCCTACAGTTTGGATTGGAGGATGAAAAAGCAGAGCTTAGCATTGACAGCAGTCAGGTAATTTAAAGTTTAATGTCTTTATAATCTCTTAATATTGTCTCTAGGTGTGTGAAATTAGCAAGCATTTAGACTGAATTTACATTCGTTTTAAACGCGGAGCCAGGCGCGAGTAGACACAGGTTGCGCGCGTGCGTCAAGCCTCACCCATACTGCCAGATGCGCTCGTGGAGACTTGCGGTGCGGAGCTGCGCGCGAGTATAAACGAGCATTACGAGACAGGCTGCATGAGTGGGGCAAGCGTGAACGGCTCGTCCGTGACGCGGGATTCGCGCCGCGTGGGGCAGAGAGGAGCGAGTATGAGAAGCATTCACAGACACGGGCTGTGTGAATTGCTCTTCTGAATTGGGAATAATCTTCGATTATCCGGGAGTGACGCGCGGTGACGCACTGCCAAGATGGCGACGGCCGGCTCCGCCCACTTTTAAGCTTCAAAAACTCTCTTCGGAACCCGACAGGTGACGTCACGGACACTATGTCAATGTTTTTATACAGTCTATGGTTGTGGCACATCTCTTGCAAATTACCTGTTTTGTTCGATGTCTGTCATTTCGAAGCCAATGTAATGTTTTTCTTTAGTATTACTGTCTTTGCCTGACTGTCGATCCGACCCTGTAGACACCATAATCCCACTTGCTCTCTCTCGTGGCCGCATTCTATTTTTTTATTTTTATTTATTTATTAATGGTGGGCGTTACGCAGTTGGCTAGAGAAATGCTGATTGGGGAGAACGGAGGTGCGCTCACTCAATTGGTTAGAACGACTGCCACTCAAGGCTGGCAGTCATGAATTTGCGTTTGCTCTGGAACAGAGTCATATCGCATCCACATCGCAGGCTTTGCGATTAGTAAATCGCAACGTCTCAAATCGCGATTTCGATTCGATTTCGATTAATCACACAGCCCTAGTGTGCATGTGCATTTGTCATTAGGTGTGTTTACATGGACCATTGTATTCCGAATAAAATTGGTTTATAAGTCCAATCCATATGCAATGTGGCATGTAAACACCTCATCGGAATAAAAATGCTCCAACCGATTGAAATTTAAATTTGCAATTTAAATTTTTTGCACATGTGACGTATGACACACAGAACGAGCTGATGCTGTTGTTGTTGTTGAATATAACAACTGAATGTTGTCAATCTAAAATCCTCTTTCCACTCTTTCAACTTTTATTTTGAAGTCGCGATGAACAGTTAGCATATTTAGAAAGATAACAATGTATTCTCCTTTGTTGGTGTAGGTTTATAAATTATTTACCTTTATAAATCTGAAACGTTATAAGCAATTTAGCATACTTAGCATAGACTCACAGCATATGCAAAGATGGAATTTGAGAAAATCCGCGCATGTAAATTATTACTGTTTGTGTGGAGCAGCATTTACTGTGAACGGAGCCGCTCTGAGATGCACATGTAAACCTCCACGCATATAAATAAAGTGCATATTAAACCTGCAGCGCATATAGCCTATTTATTAACTGAATCGCAGCCTTTGTGAATTCACAACAGCACTATGCTTTATTGTAGTTTCTAAATCGTTTTAATATTTCGTGCTTCCTTGAATGGTCAAATAGCCTAATGCTTTTCATGGATTCTTGTCCATGGAATGCACCACTTACGGTATTTTGCCGATTAATAGACACAGGCAAAATGCAATTGATTTATTATTATTTTTTTATAATCGAGAACTCATATTTATTCAAAGAAACCTGACCGCCCTACTTGACACATAAATGCGCTCATCAACCTGATCACTTTATTAGATATTTATGTAAACACTATGTACACTTTCGATGCACCATTAACAATTTTAAAACTTTTGATTTAACCTCTACAAGTCTCTAACTCATTAGTCTGAAACCATCAAGCTTCAAGTATTATTAATGCAAACTATTATTACACTGCCTATTCAGAATAACAAGGAGGCTGTTTGTAAAAGACTTTAGAATCATCTTCTCTTAAATGTTAAAAGTAGATGGCACAACTTCACTGTGTTCATTAGAACATTCCCTCCTGTTGTTGCTGAGCAAAAACTGGAGCATAGATGTGTCAGTGTGCACTCAGAATTTAGGCCAGTTTAAAAATATGCCACTGTCCATGTGAGCGCTCTTCCTCGGTCTCTTTCTCTGCTCTTCTCTGTCTCTCTTTGCACCTCCTGTTATCTTTTCCATCTATTTCTCAGTCTGTTTGCCTTTCTATTTGTTTGTTTTATTTCCTTTTCTGCTTGTGCACCTCTGTTCACTCACACACAGTTTCTTCATTCAGGTGGTCAGCAAACTGGTGCAAATTCGTGAATACATCGGGAAGGCCACATCCATGAGAGACGACCTGGTGGAAAAGAACGATGTGCCTGCAAATGTGGAACGTCTCTCTCTCCTTATCACTCACCTGAAAGAACAGGAGAAGTCTTACCTGCGTTTTCTTCAGAAGATGTTGGTCAGTATTTCTCTCTCAGGTCTTTAGAAAGTTGTTATTGTGTTTTATATGCACTTTAATGACATTTATACACAATGACTTTTTTTTTTTTAGTTTGTATAAATCATTGTTCAGATGAATATAACAACAATTTCCGGTACTGTGGGATTTTCAGTGGTTGATAGTATTGTAAATATACGTCTAACATACTTAAGAAATTGTCATGCAAATTATCTTAATACATAAGAACTATTTAAAGATTATCTCTGCTTTTTAAGATGCAAACATTATTTGTGAATTGCTAAACTGCAACACTGTTCAAGGACTCGTGACTACTGCCTAAATATCCAAAATAGGACTTTCAGTGTTTATGCTTGTGATTGTTTAACGGTGTAAATACAATTATTTTTGATGTAACATTGTCACAGAGACAGGTGTGATTTCTTAAGACCTCTATTTCAAGTAAATTTGTCAGGTAGAGGCATTTTATTTGTGGTTTTCTTAAAAAAAATAAATAAATACAAAGAGGTAATTGAAACTCAAGTATGAAAATATCAATCATGAGTAAAGTGACTAAATTTGTACATAAATAAATCAGAAGGCTATCAGAGTGCTGCAACAGCATATTAGCTGCAAAAACAAGATGATGACAAAGTGTGGGGAAAATTGTAGGTTATATAGCTCAGTGTATATGCTCATTTCCTAGGCATTTTAATGTAGTTTGAGAAATATGGAATCTTCTGTTTTAAAATTGCATTTATGCCTATTCATTTAGCAGATTAAAATGACAGAAAGCATAAGTATATTTAGTTTATAATTTATTTCTGTCATTTTGAGATGTCATGAGAGAAGAAAGGATGTTGGATTGATTGTTGTGAGGAAGAGAACAGGGCAAGTCAAATGAGTACAGATGAGACAAACGAGTGCATCGCTGCTGGCATTTGCCTGATGTTATATACGTACATATGTACGTTGAGTGTTATCCATGCAAAATTGTTGAAACCAATAATTGCTCATTTTATTATAATTTTCTCTTTAAAATAATGCATTAACACATTAACTACAAAACAATTAGATTAATTGTGATTAATTCTAGATCTATTGTCAGATTGCACAAAATTTATCAGCAGTCTCTCAATAACCTGAATCATACCACAGATATGCAGTGTTAGGCTTTGTTCTTAGTGGCATAGGCTTGATAAATGTAGAGCTCAAATCTAGGGCAACATATCGTCTTCCTTCCCCTCAGCTTGTTTTTGCACTTCAGTGTGACCTCGCTGGCTGTGTGCATATGTTTTTGAGTGTAAAGCTCAATGAAAAATGTATATTTTTCCAGGTTCTTTGTATTGAGCTGTTGCGTTTGTTTGGTTTACTCCTCTGTATAAATACCCAAATATAGCAGTAATAGTAAGTGTCTGCAGCTTCTAAATTGGGTCTGTTCTGAGCCCTGCCCCTCCTCCCTACGCTTTACAGGCGAGGGAAAATGAGGATGAGGATGATGATGAAGGTGCCACAGTGGACTCTGCGGTGGGTTCAGGCTCAGTGGCCGAGAGCACGTCTCTGAACCTGGAGCCACGCTCTGAAGCCTCCAGTGCCACTGTGAGTATTCACAAAGGCCCCTTCTCTCCGTGTGATGCCTGAACTGAACATTGATCAGGATACAACAGGCATGCAAGGTGGAATCTAGAGCTCATGCTTTGTAAGCGTAGTTGGCTACTTGGATTGCTGATTCCTCTTAACAGATGGGAAATGTGTTTTATAGTTATTTATTTAGCTTGTTTGACCTGTTTTTCTAGTTTGTCATTGAAGGTCATTGGTCTAGTGTTTTATAATTGACTCTTTTGCTGGCGTTTTTTTTGTATGAATTAATGGCAAATTGTGACATTAAAGCAACACAGCATGACTTTTTATGTACAGATGATTGTGTAATTTTAAAATGTGTTTTTGGTGAGAGACTGCAGGAAGAAATTTGAAGCGGACTCATTTCCATGGAACTGCAAAATGATGTTATTTGAAGCGTATGCAGTTCAACAGGTTCTGCTTTTTAGACGCTGCCCTTTTACTTTCTTTTTATCTTCAGTCAGTGAGTTGATCCCATTCTTAGATGCTGAGTGGCTAATTATCTGCTGCAGGTCTAACTTGGTATCAGGGCTTGAAAATGAAAAAGAATTCAATCGGTTCACTCCGAGCAGAATCGATATTTTAACATTTCTGTTCCTGCGTTCCTCTGTATTATTACCGTTCCGAAACCAGTTTGAGTAGAAAAAATACCGGTTAATAACGTTATTTAAAAAAAATTAAAATAATAATCTTTCCTTATAATAATAATAATAATAATAATAATAATAGCGTAATAATAATAATAATAATAATAACGTAAAGCGTTTCCTTTATTCAAAGAGAATTGATAGGCTATCTTAACCTGCTGTGCTTAGCCACAGCCAATACAGCATCATCTTTTCTAGATTTTGGCCAAATGTAGGCAACTAAACAAAAGAAAAAACGTTTGTTAACGCTTTAAAGACATTAAAGTATTTAAGATATTTAAAAATGTTTGCTGCATTGTTAAAAAAAATGCTACTCGTAGAAAAATTGCGTTTTGAGAGGGAAAAAAACATAGGCTAAGTCACGTAGGTTCACGTTGCATTTTACTATTACATTTAGAAATAATGTAGGCTAAAATGCCGGTGAAGCAAAATGTTTACAAACATTATAAACAGTTATTAGTTTCCTTCTCTCCACAACAAATAAGGCTACCTCTCTCATTTGGCACGAATCCAAATGTTTCCATATTCACGACGTATCTGGATGCGAAAATATTATTTATTATCTAATAGGCTTTGCTTTGTACTTCACTCGCATCGACGTAAAACATCATCCTTCACATCGGCTATTTCAGCACATTGAGGTATGAACGCAACAGATTGTACAATGGAGCAGTGTAACTTTTTATGTTTCTTTAACTGTATTTTATTTTGATAGTGAACAGGCTGCAATGTCGCTAAAATATGTTGTCATTAGGGCTGTCGCGATTCGTCGATATTATTCGACTATTCGATTTTTAAAAATCCTCGACTTCATTTTGTTTGCGTCGACTAACTCGCCATTTCATCAGGTTTGTAAGGTAAATCATTTATAAATCTACGCAAACTCAGGAGAATACATCGCGGTTTCAAAATAAAAGCTCAAACCCTCACGCTGAGTTTACACGTTTTGATGTCCACATATTCTTTTAATTACAGTAGCTATAGCATTTCTGTCCTAAAGAAACACTCCTTTGGAGTGTTACAAGCTCTTGGTGCATAAAGAAGATCTGTGGTTTGACTCAGACTGCAAAACATTAAGAAAACAACTTAGAAAATTATCAAATCTGAAACATAAAGAACCATACAACACCAATATAAGAACTGAATACTGTTCAAATCTAAAACAACAAAGACACAATTAGAGCAAAAAAGCAGCACCATCTGACCAAAAGTTTACAAGAAATAGAACATTCAATAAACCATAATCAGTTCTGGGATATGTGGAATAATCTGAGCACAACAAAACCACAAGACCTACCAATACAAGATGGAGAAATTTGGACAAAATATTTTGAAAACTTACTCAAAACAACTCGATGACAATTATAATCTGATCAAACAAAATCTACAAACTTATGAAGACACAATTAAAAATAATCAAAATCCACTTGACTTCCCAATTACATATAAAGAATTGACAAACAAACTCAAAAGCCAAAAATGTAAGAAATCTTGTGGTCCTGACAGCATTCTAGGTGAAATGCTGAAACACAGCACACCTGAGCTTCAGACAGCTATGCTCAAATTATTCAACACTGTACTTAGTTCAGGCTGCTTTCCTGACATCTGGAGCCAAGGACCCATTACTCCTATTCATAAGAGTGGAGACAAATTGGACCCTAATAATTTCAGAGGCATTTGTGTGAGCAGTAATCTGGGGAAGTTATTTAGCAGTATTTTAAACCATAGAATGGTAAACTTCCTTAACGAGCACAATGTCCTGAGCCCGAGTCAGATTGGCTTCCTTCCAAATCACAGAACGACTAATCACATTTACACCATACACTCCTTAATCAATAAACACGTAAAACAGACCAAAAATGAAAAAAATATTTGCATGTTTTGTCGATTTCAAAAAAGCATTTGATTCTATTTGGCACGACGGATTATATTATAAGCTTTTACAAAGTGGTGTAGGGGGTAAAGTTTTTGACATTATAAAATCAATGTATTCAAACAACAAATGTGCAATCCGCATTGGCAACAAACATACAGAATTCTTCACCCAGAAAAGAGGAGTGCAGCAGGGCTGTAGCCTGAGTCCAA